CCAGGATTTGTACCTGGCCCCTCTAGTTACTGTGAAACACGGGAGCAAGGTGGTCACATCCCCCGGCCTCAGTTTCTGTACCAGTGAAGTGAGGATTCTACCACTAGCACCAACCTTATAGCGTTCGGTCTGAGTTAGATAGAAATAACACACACACACTTGTTAAGAACTGTCTCTTACAGTGTGATTTATAACACTTGCCTGAAACAGTTTCTTAAACATAGCCTACATAAACCAGTTACTTACAATGCAAAGCTAATACGCATCTTTCTGGTGCTCTGAGAGCTGCTGTCCACATTTATCACGCGAGAGCCAGCCTACAGAAAATGCAGCGAATTCTTTGTGCTTCTGCAAAGGCTCTCAGGTGAGGAGGGCTTGGCCTGGCCGTTCTGTGTGACCGTGCTTGCATTGTGTCTGCCTTCCGGAACCTCTGTGCCATTTGTTTCATTTTGGGTCTGACCTACACCGTGGAGATAATGTATGAGGGACAGTGGGGGACCTGCCACAGAGAAACAGAGGGAAGAGGACGCATGGGCTGTTAAGCCAGGTTTTCAGTGACTGGAGGCACAGGGTAAAAATCCACTGGGACTTAGGGTGCATGGCATTGAAGATTTTGAAGGGCTTTACTAACATGGCTCCTTTCAGTCTGGGAAGTGTGACTATGATGCCAAGAATGGATGTTTATAGGAGTTACACTATTACTTCCCATATAGCACTGGCCCAGCTGGGGCTCTTGTGTCTAAGAACTCACGCTAAAATGATGAACAGACATGAAGACTTCTTAGAAACCTCCCCCCCTGCCCCCCGTAAAGAGTCAGATAGTAGATATTTTGAGCTTTGTGGGACTACACAACTTTTGTTCCAACTGTGTGACTCTTCTGTTACAGTACAATGTCGACATAGGCAAGACATAAACAAGTGGGTGTGGCTATGTCCCAATCAAACTTTATTTACAAAAGCAGCTGGAGCAGATCTGATCTATGGGCTGTAGTTGGCCAACCCCATTCTGGTTTTTTGTTTTGTTTTTCAGTTTTAGCTATTTCCTGTTGGGAGCAGCCCAAATCTGAGCAAACGCCATGGTAACCTTTAGACACATGCAGAACCGCGGTTCTCTGGGCCATCGTTTGCAAGGCTAACTGAACAAGACGCTATTAACATGAATATGTGAGTTGCCTTTGAGTTTGAAACTGCAAAGCCATATTGGTCAAAGGAAGCCATATGTGTTAATCAGAAAAGACCCAGGAAGATAAAACTCACATAGAACTATAGGGCGCCAGAGGCCTTGCATCTTCAGCCGATTCACATCTGAAAACAACTGGCTTTGCATTTCACTCCCCTTCCTCTCTTTTTTGCCCTCTAAAAGAATAAACCTGGGAATGGCTCAGGCTCATGGCTGCCTCCATCAGAGAAACTGAGACCACCCAATCCCTGCTTTTCTCTACTTATATGTCTTTGTGTGTTTATTTTTATGCTTATTCTTTAATCCACAACCACCCCCACTTAGTCCATGCATTCAGCCATGTTGGTCACAGCAATTTCCTTTATAAAGGAGAGAGGGAAATGAAGAGGAGAGAGGCAGAGAGAGTGATTTTTGACAGGGTCTCACCATGTCAAATCCCTGTAGGCCCCATCTCCCAATCACCTAGGATTATAAGCATGTATAACCATGCCTGGCATGTCCAGCCTGAATTAATCCATGCCCTCATGCATGGATTAGTGTCTTATAAAAGGAACCAAAAACTGTGATCAGGCCTTTTTTAGAACACTGCCTGGCACATACTAAACGCTCAGGGAATTTTAATTACGGCTTCAAATATTGTTTATACTAGCTGCTGTGTTTTTAGGCAAGGTGTGAAACCTCACTGAGCTACTCTGCTTTTCTATAACGTAAGGATAAAGATGGCTGCTCACCTGCCTCAGAGGTTTCCTGTGAGCGCCAAGTGCAAAGGTGGATAAGAAAGGTCCATGGGAATTGGCACAGTACTATGGTTGTACTGGGTTCGCTTTTAGGGTTATGGTTTCAAAATGATGTTGCTAGTGATCCGATCTCATCACTCACTCCTCTGGAACTTTCCAAACCAATTCTTAGCAATCAAGCTCGACCCCATTTCATTTTTTGAAGACTTACTCTTTTCTAAGCACTTCACATATTTTATTTTTTTTAATCATCTCACTGTTCCTTTGATAATTCCTGAAATGTTATTTTTATTATGATTATTATTATTTTTAGAGGTTTTTGCTACAGGGTACGTGCACTCGCCAGAAAGACAGAGAGACAGAGAGACAGTAAATGAGAAATCACCCCCCACGGGGATGGCTACACCGCAATCCCTTCTCCTCCATTCTCCTATTGGGATCCTGGGCACACACACATATGCACCCGGCGTGAGTTTAAGCCACTGAACCACGGTAGACTACATGGAAGTCCAGTGATATAGCCGTTATGCTAACTGCTGGTCCCCTGAAATGTTATTTTTTAAAAGAATTATTTATTTAGTTTTATTTATCATTTTTTCCCCTTTTAATTTGTTACAGGGCATGTGTGCTCACCAGAGAGAGATGGAGACAGAGATAAAGTGAGAGAGCAAGTTGCCAGGTTGGGGACTCAAACCACAGCTGGCCATGTGGAAGTCCAGCACCTCAACCACTCTGTCACGTGTCTTCTGTGAAATGTAATTTTATAGATGTGATAACTAAGGATCAGAGCAGTAAAGAACCAGGATTCAAGTCCATGTTTGTCTCCTACACTTGTCCCCATTACTGGTGTCCCCAGACAGGTGTAACTGCTATTTGCCCATTGTTCCAGCTTATATTATCCTTAGGGCCTGAAGTTCAGTGTGGTCATGTGACTGGTTTGGTTAAATAAATTTGAGTAGAGATAAATGCCTAGCTTCCTAGGGACAATACTTAGTTACCAGTGCATGACCCGACAAGGGCTCTTTTTCCCTTTAGCTCAGTGACTAGCAGTGTTCCAACAGAGCTGCCCTATCTGCCTGGGTAAGCAGAGTCCCTAGGGGACACAGGGTGAGCAGAGTCCCTAGGGGACACAGGGTGAACACAAGGAAGAAATCAGCGTTTGTGTCTGAAGCCATCAGGATGTTTATGATGGCATTTAACTTACTTTCTCCTGATTGTTACACCCTCTAAGAATAAATATATATAAAGAGGTAAAACAGAGTCCATGTCTTCAAGGAACCTAGAATATAGTAGAGGGAACAAGAGAAATGTGCAAATTTGTCCAACAAACAATTGCTCTTTAGTATGAGGATCAAGCTTAGGGAATGCAAAGATGAATAAGGTCACTGCCCTATCTGTAGAGTCTTGTGGGCAGAGTGAGTCCACTTCCAGAAGAGGGAGACTGGTGGAGGAAGGAAGAAGCATTGCTAATTGTGGAATTCAAGGATGTCTTTGGGGAGCATATGGACCTAAAATGGGTCCTCAGAACCTACTGCTCCTCTGTGCCTAACCTCCCTCACCCCATGCTCTTTCCTTTTCTCTTCTTCACTTTGTCTGTCTCTTTGTTTCTCCACCTGCCATGCTTTGAATGTGTCCCCTCCAAAATTCATGCTGAAACATAGTCCCCACAGTGGTGGTATTAAGAGGTGGGGCATACTGGGAAGTGATTAAGTCATGAGGGCTCTTTTATAAGACACTAATGAGGACTCTGTCCTCATGCATGGATTCGTGCCTTATAAAAGGACTAGAGGAAATTTCTTAGGCCCTTTTGTCCTCTACCTTTCATCATATGAGGACATGGTGTTCATCCCCTACAGGGGATGGAGCAGGAAGGCACCATCTTGGAAGCAGAAAGCAGCTCTTACCAGACACTGAACCTGTCTGTCAGTCTCTTGGTCTTGGACTTCTCAGCCTCCAGAACTGTGAGAAATAAATTTATGTTCTTTATAAATTACTCAGCCTTGGTTATTTTATTATGGCAGATGAAGACATCACCTATTTGGCTTTATCTATTTGGCCTGGCCAGATATATTTGAGAAGACTAGATAGGAGCTCATGAGAATAGGATGAGAGAGACAGACACCAGAGAGATGGAGAATCTCGACTGGGAGGATCTCTTCCTGCCCACAGGTCTTCAGCTTCCATTATTGCACAGGTGTGAATAATAAATATTTATAGCCATCAGCTCATTCTGAGGAAGAAGCAGGCATAGATTATTAGCTGTGCTTTAGAGAGGAGGAAACAGGGGTTCAGTGTCTACTTCTTGGACACACAGTAGGAGTGGGATTGACTCCAGACTCCCGTCTTCCGGTAGGAAGAGAACTGACTTTATGGAATTCATCCACTTCTGGACTTGAATCCTGGCTTTGTCTGAGAGACAAGCTCCACTCTGTGCTTTGTTCTTTGGAGAAATGGTTCTAACATGCTTGATGATCGCTGATCAGCAACTTGAAAACTAACGGGGACCAAATGAGTCTGACAACTTTTTATTTCCACAAGGAAGTACATTAAAAAAAAAAAGTCCACATTCTCATTATCACCTAGAAGGGCTATTTTAAAACCCAAGAGATAGGAAGGACATAATTTTAGAAAGAAAAGATGAAACTTTTGAGCGGAATAAGTGTAACTTGGTGAACACCTCACCACTCTGCCTGTCTGGTTGTCATATCATCAAGAACAGGTGGAAATTGTGTCTGAGACCCAGGGTGGTTTTGGGGGCATGTGTGTGCATGTTTGTGGTCGGGAAAGACCAGCACCCCAGCAGTTTGGCCAGATTCTTC